TTATTAATTGAGATGTCTACACTTTATTACATAAATAAAATTAATTATAAAATATAACAAGGCCCAAATTGCATCATAAAACATACTGGTCCAGAATATTCAAAATCAATTGCATCATAAAATACCAAAGAAAAAATAATAACGCATAGACTTTGAGGTGTCTTGAAATTTCAATATGCAATTGATCTTAAAAACAATAACAAGGGAAAATAAATAGATTTTTTTGTAAACTTTAAAAAATACAAAAATTTAAAAAATTGGGTTTTGCTATTTTTTTGTAAAAGAAATAAGACAAGACGTAAAGACACTTTTGTTTATTCCGACTTCTAAAAAATTCTTTAAAAATAAATGTAAAATAAACAAAAAATAAGTAAAATATATTTTCAAAAGTATCAAAAATCGCAAAATCGAGAAAAATTTATAAAATCAACTTTAACAATAAAAATGTTCGCATTTAAATAAAATTTGATCACCACGAGGTTTTGTGATCACTCATTGAAATTAAAGTTTTACCACTGTCGAGGAAGCAAGATAAATTTATTGTTTGTAATTTGAATATTTTTATCATTTTCAAACAAAAACTAAGGCAAAACGTGTTTTATGCAATCTATTTAGAATATCAAGATTTGTATTTGGTAAATAATTGTTTATTTTGCAGCCACTGTTTATTCATTCTCGATTAAATGCATTTTTGGGCAACAAACTAAAAACTAATAGTAAATGTATTGAGATAATGAAGAACAAAGAAAAACACAAGTGTAAAGACATCAATATATAAATCAATGTTAACACTTTAAATTATAATTTATAATAAAATAAATTAATATATTATTAATAATTTATCGTGTTATTTATAATAGTTTTATAATTATAATTGTTATATATTATAGTAACAATCAACAGACATAATTTTGACACAATAACACATCAACAATCATATTTTTACTACAACGTAATTTCATCGAAGCGATAAGTGATTACATTGATTTAACAATGTTGTGTAATTAAAACTAAATTGTATTTTATGTATAATTATAACAAAAATGGTATAATCACCCCTTTTTATAATGTTATCATTATGGAAGATACATAGTGTTTGTAATAAAGCGTTTTGATTGAAATACACAGTTTAATTTAAACTAAACAAATAAGCATTAAATTTATATAAACGGAAACACACTGGTTTAGTGAATGATCAACAAAATGATTATATGTGATATAATTGATGTATGTGTTATATAGATAAGAATTTAAATTATTTGGATGTTAAAATTGATTACATACTATATTTATAATATTATTTTACCATTAATTATATAGAGTCTAAAATAATAATATAATAATAATAAAATAATAATTTATTTTTTCAAATGACAATAATGTTAAAATAATGTTATTCAAACACACCAAAAACAAAAATATTAAAATATTTTTTGTTTTAAAAGGTATAATTTTAAAGAATATTTTAAATTAACGACTAACTGTTATTCCACGACAATGGATCAATAAAAAATAGGCAAATAAATGTCACTTATAATTTTATTAACAATTATAGTTAAAAATATTAGATAATTTATAATGTATTGTTTATTCGATTGATTTTGTAACGAATTGTGTTTTGTGTTTTTAAATAGATTTTTTGTTTAAATTTTTAAAAATACCTACAGTAAGGTTACCCCGTTTTGTTCAATTGTTTTAATAATGCAAGACATTTATAGTTATTTTTAATTGATGAATACCATTTTAACAAATTAAATGCAAAAAAATTTTGGTGCGTTTTTATTTGAAATTGCTAAACAATAAAATGGTTTAAATTAATTAAAAGTACTAATTAAATCTTACATAAAACAACATCACTTGCTACAAAACAAAAAAGTTTGTGATAAAACAAAGAAAATACTCGATATAAATATGAATAAACACGATAATTGAGTTTGATATTTCAAGATTTGTTATGAATAGATTTACAGAATCATTCTTTAAAAATTGTCATTTCTCCAACTTTGTCCCTCATTTTTTAGATATTAATGAGTGGAATATATAGGGTAATAATACGAAACGCCAAAAAAATCATTGTTTCATTTTTACCGTTTTTATGATTTATTACCTAATTCCCATTTTTTAAAAATTTTTTGTGTATTTTTTGCAAAAAGGACAACGTTTGAAGAAAGGATAATGTTTAGAAAATGACTTCAGTTCAATTAATTAAATTTTAAAACCGAATATAAACAATAATAATCAAGATTTTTTTATTCATTTCCCGATTTTTTAAAAGAAATCAATAGATAGAGATGGATAAAGATCGAAAAATTCAATAAATTACATTATAAAACAACTCGTTTTTATCTGTTTAAAAATAAAACATAAAATTTTACTATTTTTTTTAGTAAACTACAAACATAAATCTGTGTTCGATACGTTGCTCTCAACTTCAAAAAAAGTCAGGTAGTTGCCTTATCATCATCATAAAAAAAGGAATGTGAATTTCCAGACTGTCATATCACGATTATTGGCACGAAAGATTCAGATGCCAGAAGCACCCTCCCAGTTATCATTTTTTTAATATTGAAGCATCAGGTATCAACGAAACAACTTACAACTCATTTACAAAATGCGATGTCGATATCAGAAACTAGTTGTCCGAAAACATCGTCTTTCCATATGGAACATCAATGTACTCAGGCACTAACGACAGACTTGAGAATAAGAAAGTTGCAAATGAGAAACGAATAAGTATAATCAAGGCTCTTTATTTTTGGCTCAATTAATTATATTTGTGTACAGTATGGGGAGAAAGTAACACCAGGGAAGAAAGATACACCACATTTTTTTCAGTATATAATTCAAGTCAATTTTCGAAAAGAAAAATTCAAAGAAAAATTCTATTCAAAAATTCCCGAAAAATAAACAATTTTCATGTGAAAAAAATGTGGTGTAGCTTTCTTCCCTATTTTTAAATCTTTATTTGGTTTACTTTAAATTATTATTGATAAGATAAATCATACAATTATAATAATTCTACTATCTTTTTTATTATTCAAAAGTTGATTTATTATATTTTATTTATAATTAGAATTTTTATACAATTCATTATTCTTTTGTCACAAATAGTAAAATGTATCCAAAACAACTATTTTTCTCGACTTAAATTGATGTTTTATAGCGTTGTTTTACCATATATAATAATTATTTGTTTTATTTTGGTGTTAGTTGAATCACACATAATATATATAAATTGAGGCGATAAACCCACACCTGGAGAAAAACCCGCACCCATTTTTTTCTTCTTTTACCCAAATTATTGTGTTTTTTTACTTCCAGAACATGTAAAAAATAAAAAAGTCGGGTTATTATAGTTTCTTTTTCTTTCTTTTTAGTGTTTTTTATCCCAAAATAAAAAAATGATTCGAGTTTGATTCAAAATGAACTATCAAAGAACAAAAATGTCCCGGATTTTTACTTACTTTCAGTGTATTATAACAATGTTTTATTCCTTTTGTACTTCTTTCTTTTAAGGGGGTATTATTTTTTCTATTTTTATTTGCATTTACATTTTTGG